TCTCAAAATTCCTGAAAAGAAGCATCCAACCCCTCCCCCTTAACTCGCTACTGGTTGTTCTGACCATTGAACATGAGGAAAATACTTCTATTTGGATGTCTTTTATTTTTTTTGTTTCCCTGGCAGTATCAGGTGGTACGACAATTAATCATCCGAATGGGTCAATTAATAATCATATTAGAGTCTTTTCGGTCGTGATTCGAACGAATTTTTAAAAATTTCTAAAAACTGTCCACGTGTCGAAAAGAAAAATACGCGAGCCAGCGAAGTGAGCGAGCAGTCTTATTATAGAAGTAAAGGCCGGGACTTTTTTCAAGCAAAGAAAAATTTAAATTATGCAGTAAAATTGGTTTTCGAATTTGTTACTGCCTTTTGGAAAAAAGTAAAATTGCCATTTGCAATGCAGTAAAAAACTGGTTTTCGAAGTTTGTTACTGCTATTTACAAAAAACCTTTCAGCACCATATGAAAAATTTTCAGCAAATTTTTGAATGTTTTTTTTTGATTTCCCAGTCATTTTTTTTTTTGGAAAAACTGTTATCCAATTTGCCTATTTTTGTATGGCTGACGAATATGCCTAAGCTCTAGGCTGTGGTTCCGATCTTTTTTTCATCGCACATCACACAAAAAACAGCGAAGTTTTATCTGTATTTTATACGAGTTTGATTGGAACTTTTTGGGCTACTTGCACATCAAGCGGTTGTCCTATACGACTAACCTATCATAACGGCTAATTTTATACGCTCGGCTAACTTATAAGAAATAAGCTAATTTTGTGCGGATTTTTCCACAAAATACACAAAATTTTGGTCTATTTTTTAATGGTCTGAATAGTGTTCTGGCAGAATTCCGAAAGTCAATTTGGTCGGGCCAAAAAAAATGGTCGACAAAAGTCAAAAATGTTTTGAAAATCCACTCTCGCAAAAAAATCTTAAATCCATTACTGAGTGGACAATTACGTTTCAAAACTACGGTCAAAACTCTGTAATAGCTCAAGCTGACGCTCAAAATCTACTTAGGGCTGCGGCAACCTACTAACGGCAAACCTTTTTTTAGTTTAACTTAAATCGACCGAACAATAATTCCTGGATTTATTTTGAAAGTTCGATTCTTGGATATTTTTTGATGTTACTTCTTGAAATGATGATGCCCGGAGGAGATATCGCTCGACAGGTCGAAAGACCTCCTGGTGGTCTCCCAAATTGGTGCGACATCGGCAGATAATTGATCTGAAGATTGATTGTAAAATATCAGTTTTCATAATAAATTGATATGATTATCATGTTCGTTTTCATCTTCATTTCAGGAAACAAACTGTCAAGCTAAGTCTCAAAAAGGAGATAAAGACAGAGAGAGAGAGAGAGAGAGAGAGAGGGGACGAACTGAATTTAAAAGGGCAAGCTTGATAATTTAAAGGGTAGGCTGACAAAACGAAGGGTGAAGACGTTTAAAGTTCAAATCAGCTAGCGAATAGTTTCATTCGATATCTTATATTTGGTTTCGTGGTATCCTCCATTGGTGCGAATGACTTGCTTATATAATTTTTGACATGCGCTTCTGTAATAATGGTTTTAAAGATTTTAGTTAAGTAGAAATCAAGGTTCGCATTCTATTTGTGGTATCGTTGTTTGACATCTTTTCAACTATTCCCGCCCCCTTTTGCAAAAGGGGGAGAATCGTTACTAGGTACAAAGTTCGCATATGCTTAACCGTTGAATTTTTTGTTATAAGGGTGACAACCCGTTACTAGGTACCAAAGGGGGGAAATAGCTGAAGAGATCCGATGTATATTGTTAATTAGCAGCGGCCACAGTGTTTCTGCTCTGTGAGATGTTCGGCTTAGGCGTGCTTTTAATCATGCGGAAGAACTCCTTTCTGAAGAAGCGGCTGCCGAGGATGTAGAGGAAAAAGTTCACACACTGGTTCATCAGTCCAGTCCACTCCGCCAGGTAGAACAGCAGAACAGTCCACTTTTCCCACTTGGGGTCATCTGCAGAAATGCGGGGCTGGGTCTGAAAGTAGACTAAAAATTATCCGAGTTTTTTTTAATGTTTTTTATTGATTATGGTGGAAACCCTTTGTGATACTGCAAAAACTTAGAAGAATCGATCAAAATGCAATTTTACAATAAACTACGTTCGGATAGTACATTTATTTTTCGAAAAAAAGGATGTTGGATTTTTGGTTTTTCCTCTAACTTCGTTTTGAAAACCCTCCCTTTCAAAGATCCTAGATTTTTACGATACAATTGCTTGCTTAAAAGGGAATATTTTTTCATTCTCAGTCCTAGCCATGCTTGATTATCTTGGTTAAGGTTCTGAGCGGAGAATTGTTGAATGATTTTAAAGCAAAAGCACGATTCTTGTTAGTTCTCGTAACAACACGCAGATATTATTGTTGTTCTTTTGCAAGGAGTGTTTTTTCTCGAGACCAATTTCAAACTTTTTTACTAGTCTTTTTTGACGCTTTTTATGTCGCAACTTTCAAAAAATGAGGAACATTTATGGTGCGGGTGTTTTTTTTTTCATTCAGGATCAATTTCAAAAAACTCGAGGGATCGCTCCCTAGATCTGCATGTGCCCAGCCGGGTGTGCATGCCACTATAGTATTTTGCCACAATTCTGTCTTATTTGCGGTTTATATGTTTTACATGTGGCGAAATATTCCGCACTACAAAACCGTGCTAAATTGAATTGAGGCAACAAATTAATAGGGAGCTAGGCGAATAAGGCGACAGGACATTAATGCGAAAAAATATTTCGACGACAAAAAGGTATTAGCATCCAAAATTACTACAATTACTGGCAATGCCATCCCAATAAATTTTTACAGATAAAGAACCATCCAAAAAGTCGTTTACTAATAATTTTCGACCTCGGTTTTTGGAAGGAAAAAACTTAAACTCAATTTTGAACAGGTTAATAAAAAATAATGGTTGATGCGTGTTAAATTGTTAAAATTTACGTTTTGGTATTTCTCAGAAAGGTAAAATAATCATTTGAGCTTTGTATTTCTCAGAGCTGCTCAACTGCTGAAAGTCGAGCAAGTGCAGTTTTGCGATTGAAATTCCGGGGTCGAAAGGCAGTTTTAAGTCAAGCACAAAGTCGAAACGTATCCAATTTCGGTCGAGAAGTTCGAAATATAGGTCGAGAAAGTCAAAACGTATCTATGAGGGCTCCGATAAACAAATTTTCAAATATTTTAAAAAATGTCTGCCGAGAAAGTCGAAACATATCAAATTTTGGCGTCGAGAAAGTGGAAACATATCTGAACTGGGTCGAACAAAGTTGAACACTTTTTTCTTGGGTGGAGAAACTCAAAACATACCAAAATTTGTTCGAGAAAGTCGAAACATGCCGAAAATAGTTCGAGAAAGTCAAAACATACCCCGAGGCATACCGAATTTTGGTCAAAAATTTTGAGACATAAATCGAGCATCTCGTCCCGGGTAAGACAACCAATTCGCGTTATCAATTTCTCAGAAATGTACTTTGTCGTCTAAATGTCTTATCAAAAATGGTTGTCGCCTTTACGCCGTCGCCCAGTTGCCGGTCACCAGCCAAATGGTCTTATTAGCTCCTTACAGGAAACAATCTTTCACACTTAAAATTTGATATAATCAGCCTGAAATTCATAGTTGTGTCAAAATACAATTTACCAGAAACTATTTGAAAGCAAACTAAAGGCAGTCGATTCATTCAGATTTCTGCCCTGATGCGGGACGTCTTGTTATGTCATCCTAAAAGTATTGTTGTCATTAGCTCTATTTTAAAAAGCTTTTTCACTATTGATAAGTTTTCGTAAAGCTAAGTCGGTTTAAGGATTGCCAATTTCGGATAATTAACGCGCGATATATTTTGCGCTATTAACGGATAAGCCGAGTGTTAATCCGTCTTAGAACTCGATCCAAATTGAACTGAGGCATAATATGTGGTCTAGTTAATACTTTGCCATATGCGAAATATATTGTCCAAAAATATAACAAATTTTTCTTTTTTTTTTGAAAATACTTGGAGCATTGTTTTCATACTGAACACCACTGCATAGACGTTAAAAGGTAGTCGGAGTACTCAAGGCGTCATCCTGATACCATCAGTCTTGTTTCATTTTGGGTTGATAAGAAAACTAACGTTGAAACGCAATTTCACATTGAAGATCGAAAAACAAATTCAACCTGCATTTTTTGTTCAATGAGATGTTTCAGAAGATCAGAACCTGCATTTTTTTCAGAAACCTAGTTTCTTTCATTACATGGTCGAAGGTTTGAAAAAAATTGCAGTACATTTTGACGGCATGAGATGAAAAAAAAATCATCACGAAAAAGCAATTTTATTTGATATCACCTGGGTGAAGATGATGAAGAGACTCATGGAGCTGAGAAACGTGAGCAAGAGGTAGGTGCAGGACACCAGCAGCAGTCCCTTCGTGATCGATCTCTCTTGAGACCTACTGCCACCACCACCGCCACTGCCACTAGGAGGCTTCCTGTAGAACAGTTCCACCGTATTAAACTTCCTAATTTAGCTCCTAGGGCGAAAGGTGCTACGCACTTACACTTAAAAGGGAAAATATTGAACCTTTCGAAAATTGTTTCATGTAATTTTTTGTCCTCTTTCTGAATTGGGAAAGATCATCGCAACGTCAAACCTCATAATTGAGCAAAGAAAGACAAGAAAAGTCGTCGGCTGAACAGTTAGCCCAAAATTTTCCAGCCAAGGTCATTTTGCCAAAAAAATGTGACAAGCTCTGGAAGTGAAATGGATGCATCATTAATAAAAAAAAACAAGTAGCACAGAATGTTCCGACCATAGTCTTTAGAAAACTACGGTTTCGAAAGTTTTTTTTCCAAATTAGAGTAGTTTTTTCTATTTGTGATAAAAAAGATTTGAAAAAAATAATTGAGGCATATTAGACAATCCTTGTAGTTGTAGTATAGGCAAACTTTTATAAGAGCATGACTAGAAAAACAACAAAAAAATTGAATTTTTTTTTGCAATAAATTTTTGAATGTTTTTGGTTGGCAAAACGCTGCTAAAAAACTCCAAAAACTATGATTGTTTGTAGGACCTGATTTTGCGTGGAAAATAAAAATAAAAAAACTTAAACACACCCGAATACAAAATTCCTCCCCATTTTCAAGGGTCGGAACAATGACTCAATTGTCAAAACCTAGATTTTCAAACCTCAACTTTAAGAAAACGAGAAATGAGCATAGGTAAATTTTGTTGTATTTTGAACTCGTCAACTTAAAATTCGAAATAACATGTAATAAGGCATAAAAAGTAGCCTCAATCATATACATTCCGTTTTCTTCGAAAATTGATACAATCGTCGACTGATGTGAAAATAGTTTAAGAATTAAAATAAAAGGCTACATTTACGGACGTGCGATCACTATCGGAGCGCCAAAATGCCACGATTGGTTAAAATTTTCAAACAAAATGTCAGTTTTAGTTATTTTTCGAAAAAAAGTATCAACATTTTTCTAGACGTCTTATAATACAACAAGAACAATCAGGACTTTGCCCCGACACAAGCAATCGCATTTTATCACTAGCGAAACTTCCGTTCTCTGTATAATTGTTTTGGTGGAAAGTTCTTACTTCACATGAAGTTTTTTCAGAAATGATTTTGCTGATTTTTTTTCAGAAACCGAAATAATTCTGAGTGTTTGTCACGCTCTTAGCCCAGTTTATTTCTTATTTATGCCAACCAGGCACTTGCGCGTAAGCGGCCGATTAATCTGGCTCTTGAAGTATTCCAAACTCAATTGAGGCTGCCCATTTGTTGCCAATAATCAGCAGAACATTGATACCAAATGTATCATTTTTCTTTAAAATTGCGTGTGAGGGCATTACAAAACACTAACTTTTAAACACAAACTGCTTCAACCCAAACAAGGATCAGCCATACAGATGTGAAGATGATTTATTAGAGTGAAGAATTTACAATATAAAATCTTATGGCGCGAGATGCATTTCCTGCGTTCTTCTTTATGAAAAAAGCCAACCAAACAAAATTTCTTCAGGTTGCTCTACGAGATGAAGTTTCCAGGTTTACCCGATAAATCAAATGACGTTTTCCTTGTAGTTCAACACAAATTCGGAGTTTTTGTACATCACTTACTTAAGTTTGTATATGATGGCGATGTTGAGGACAAATAGCATGGCGGCTGGGAATCCACAGTAGAGGAAGGAGACGCTATAGTGGAAGTAGAATGCCTGCAAGCCCTCGCTGAGAGTTGAGTCTATGAGACATGATCCATTCTCCAGAGTGAAAACATAGAGGTTACCCACAAGCAAGAGAGACACTGCCACATAAGTCACGCCCGTCGCTGCCACCGGATACCACAGTTTGCTCTGAAGATTTAAACCTATTATATTTTACTAATTCAACCACAGGCTCTTTTCCAGTCCCCCCCTTTCAAAATACCGAGTTTTATGTTTGTTTTACGTGCTATTACGGCTAATTGCGTGATGTTACGCTGTAAAGTATGAAGAACAATACTGTTCACAGTTGTTGATTTGTTCACCACGCCAAATTTCATTGCATTATGACAACGCTAAATAAGCTTTTCAAAATTGAATTTGAAAGGTGGGGGGGACTGGAAAAGAGCCCAATCACATTGAGTTAAGTCAGACGAAACTAGCTAAGGTGTGTTAGTTTTATTAGACCACCTCTCAGTTGAATTTTAAAAATTGCATCAGTTTTTTTAGTTTCATCTTTGATCATTTGCGTATATTGAACTTATTCATATTTTTGCAGCCTTCCCGATAAGTTTCAATCCGTTGCCCCACCATTTTTTTGTATTAGTACGAAGTTGAACATTTGCCTTGAGACTGTTTTTGTAGGGAATTGGTCTCGCTATGGCCAGGAATCGGTCGAAGGTGAACAGCACAAGGGTATACTGTGTGGCGAAGGTGGTCAAGTAGCTGATCCACTGGCCGAACCTGCAGAACATCGAACTTCTGGCGAGCACCACAACCCAGTTCCAGTGTGTGAACCTGAATCATCAATAAAAAATATCGTAGGGAAAATGAGAAAAGCTTTGCCTAGCTCGACAATGAGAAAATTGATTCCCAACACGACAGTTATATATCTTTGCGCCTGATATTTAGTAACACAAACAAAATATTTTCAGGTCTCTAATCATCGAAGTTGGTTTTTATAAACAATCATTTTGAAAACCAGTCTGGGAGATCGTCAGTGGACAAACTATGCCTGTTTTTCGACGTCTGAGACATAACACTCTGAAAACTGAATATTTTCCTGGAACTTTGGAAAGAGTTTAAGCGACTTGACATTTTGTTTCCTATAATCAGCTGTGATAATTTAATAAACCATAATTAAAATTGGACACTTTTAGCTGGGACGATTTAATACAGTTTTTACCAGAATGAACTTGGTTCCTTTGCAGGGTACATTTGGCTCTGAGAAAAATTTTCCGTGTTATTGTGTTATTTTGTTATTTGTGTTATTTTGTTATTTTAGAGACCTGCTTTTAGATTTCTTGATTTTTTTAAAGACATCTCAAGGGCGGTTCTAGTAGTTTTGTAGGCAGCTCGGTTGTTAAAAAGGGTATTTTGTCATATAATTTTGACTACCAGTCAAATGAGATTCTGAATTTAGTATTTAGATTCTGAAAAAAAACTTGTAAACGCTTTATTACACCAGAAAAAGTACTTTGCGTCACTGCCACTTGTTGAGAAAAATTGCTTTTTGTATAAAAATCTTGGCTAGTCTGAAACTGAAAAATCAAATTTGGCCTAGAAACGCAATTTTTTGCTTTGATTTTGGACAGTTACAAATTGACGAAGAGAAGTTAGCAGAAAGGTAGTTTACTTCGCCTAGTTTGTTTATTAATGACGAAATGTGTGCCTACCCGATGTTGACGATGGCGTCTATGGCGACACTGAGGGAGTCCCCTAGGGCTATGAGGAGCATGTAGACTAGGGAAGAAGTGTGGACCCCCATGAAACAGACGACACACACTGTGAACATGTTGCAGAGGATGCCCACACCCCCACTCACAGGAATCACCACACTGCCCAGTATGTCGATCGTGTCAGAGAGAGCACCCACCAGATCCCAGTTGATGTTCGAGTGTGCCCCAGGAGTAAGCGATATGGTCGTCGTATTCAGTTCAGATGCCATTTTTTTTCGACTGTTGCTGATTTTGACGTTTTTGTGGCGTTTTTCTTCTTGTATTTGTTTGAAAATTTTGATGCAATTTTCTAAATATCTACAGGGCTGTTATTGTGGCACAATATGTCTAGATTCGTTTTGATTTTTTGAATTTTAGCTCCAAGTAGTGACGTATTCGTTTGGCTATATTAAAGAATAATTCTAGCAAAGAAGACGGGATTATAAGATATCCGGAGCAAAATTCACGTTATTTTAAAGATATGACATATAACATCATTTCAATTACCCTTTCAATTAACTTAACATTTTTGAACAAGAACCAAAAACCAATTCAGTCACATTTTCTTCTTCCAAAAACCGGCTTAAAAAGCTAAATACCACTAAATACCGCTAAATAAGAAGCTATTTAAAAACTAATTTCTTAAGTCGTTTATCTTCCACCAGATTTTTGGCGAGGAGAAAAACCATATATGGATGTCAAGTACTCCTCGAAGAACAAGATGATAGCTTTCTTGTCAAGGTAAATACCGATAGTAAGGCTTGTTTTCCGTTGGCTATATCCTTTATTGTGGATTACAATTTTTGTTGCGGATTCCTCAAAGTTGGCTGCTTTAAGACCAATTTTGAGCAATGCAGTGATTTAGCTATTTGTTCGGAGCATCAAAAACAGCGAAAAAATCAGGAAAAGTAGCTGTGTTAAAGATTCCACAAAAAATCTTCTTTCTGCTTTTAGCGGAATCCACAAAATATACAATTTGGTCTTGTAATGTAGTTTTTTCAATAAATTTTTTTGAGATTTTTAATGCACTTTCCAAAAGAGACAAGACTGCTCGTATCAGGGCGAAGCCCTGAATGTTCCGACTGCCTTTTAAGGTTTATGGAGCAGTAATAACGTTAAAAAATTCAATGTAATAAAACAAAATGATTTTTTTTTCAAAAATTTGAAATTTTCTAAAGAAAATCATCCCCCCCACACGCCATATAAAGTAAAAAAGGATAGAATTCGCGCCTCGTAACAAATCATTTATGGCAAATAAGCTTCTTTCAACCAATTTGGAACGATTTCTAAGACGGATTAACTCTCCGCTTACGTGTTAATAGCGTGAAATATATCGCGCGTTAATTGTCCAAAATTGGCCAAAATGGCAATCTTTACACCCATAACTTTACAAAATATAATCACAGGTGAAATATCTTTTCAAATTTGAGCTCATGACAACAATACTTTTCGAAGGATATAAAAGAATTCCGTCAAAAATGGCTATTTAAAAAGTCAAAACTTGTCTGAAGAAAAAAAAACCCACCCCGAGCACAAATATTCCGTTACTTTCGTATCGAAAGTCGGAACAAAATAGAAATGCCCAATCCAGTTTTTTAAAACAATTCCTGTGAACAACGCTAATAGAAACAATTATTTTGGAAGTTGAAGAAAAAGTAATTAGGAGTCCGTGTTTCACAAAATGTATTCAAGAAAAGTATGATGCAATCTCTTTTAAATTCGTTGCTTCGTACCAACCACTTAATTAGTAAATGATGACGTCTTTTTGACCCGGCAAAAAGGCTCAAATTTTATAAGTGGTTTCCATTAGCAGTCAATATTTTGAAAACAAATTATCTTTTAGAAAATTGGTTTTGATTGGAGAGTAGTTTCAATTATGAGCTCATAACAATTTATCATATTTTAAAGTTAATTCGGGACTTCAATTAGTTCGGGACGCTGCAATTAATTTTGGAGTGACTTAAAAATGGAATGAAATCGGAATTTAACTTGCTGCTTCTGCGCCAATTTTCTACAGTCTACTAAAACAAACAAGACTGCTCGTATCAGGGCGAAGCCCTGAAACTTCCGACTGCCTTGGAACGTTTATGGAGCAGTAATAACATAAAAAAATTAAAGAAATAAAATAAAATTAAAAACTTTTTCTAAAATTTGAAAAATTTTCTATGAAAATCATCCCCCACCCGCCAAGTACAAAACAACAGATTTCACTCCTTGCAACAAATCAATTATGGCGAAAAGGCTTCTTTCAACCAATTTGGAACGGTTTCTAAGACGGATTAACTCTCCGCTTACGTGTTAATAGCGTGAAAGATATCGCGCGTTAATTGTCCAAAATTGGCCAAAATGGCAATCTTTACACCCATAACTTTACAAAAAATAATCACAGGTGGAATATCTTTTCAAATTTAAGCTCAGGACTACAATACCTTTTGAATGATATTAAAAAATTCCGTCAGAAATGGCTAGTCAAAAAGTCGAAATTTGTCTGAAGAAAAAAAACCCACCCCGAGCACAAATATTCCGTTACTTTCGTATCGAAAGTCGGAACAAAAACAAAAGAGAAAATATTGAGCTCAATGTTCTCAAACTTGATTAATTTTAAAAATAGTTGAGAACAATTTTTTGTCAAATTTGGACTCCAAAGTTAAGACTTTAACACGGGTCAGTTCATTTTTACAAAATAAAACAAACGTAGAGATCGATTGGTGTTACTTTTACATCAAATGCCCTTTTATGTTTGCTTGTTTTTGAACCAAACAAATTGACTCGTCAACAAAATTGCGCCTCCCGAAACGAAGTCACCCAATAATTTTCGAAATGAAGATAGTTTTCTAAATGAAGACAAAAAGCAAGTAATCGAGATTATCACCAAGTTTTTTTACGACCAAACCTTAACTGTTTTCCCGCGCTCTCTGGACACAGTAATAATAAAACATCATTGTAAAAAATTAAATGATTAACAAATTATGAATGCTGTGAAAGTTGTCCGCTTTTGAGCTAGTAGCATCTTTTTGAGTAAAATTGATACAAAAGAACAATCGACACAACCAAAACTTAAAAATTACAGTTTTTTTGCGTGAAAAAAAATCGGAGACAACTTGAAAAGCAGTCAAGAAAGTAAGGGCCTTGCCTTGGTGCTAGCAATTTTGTTCGTTTGAATCATCCTTTTTCCCGATCTTCAAAGAAAATTATAGAATAATTCAGCTTGACCTCTTCATTTTTTTTCTCCAGAAAAATTTTGAATTTTTTTACTTAACAATTTTACGGATATTTTTCTGTCTCATCTGAGAGTTATGGATGCCCTGAGCTCAAAATCAAAAATCTATTTTACCATAACCACATTTTTCAAAAAAAATTTCTCTCCGAGTCTATTGACTGATTGTATGAAAATGAATGCCGTCATTTGAATTATTGCTAGTAATGAACTATTTCATTTGTTAGTATCTCATTGAGTAAAGTTGGAATAATTATCGCGCGCTTTCTAGTATCAATCGATGAAGCTCAACGCGTAAATGCAATAAATTTGTTCGCAGCAACTTAACCTATGCTACAGTTGATCCAAATTTTTCAATACCTGAATGTTCCGACAGTCCCTTAATTCATATAGAGTAGTTTTTGGGAAAAAAACTTTGAAAATCTATAAAGTTTGGACAATGTAAAATTATTTAACCTCAATTCAATTTTCTAGCCTCAATTCAATTTGGAACGATTTGGTTGCGCGGGATAATTCGCCACGCATAAATAATTCGCGTTACGCTCTAAGCATTATGAATAAACCCTTTAAAGCGCGCATAGTTTAGTCCAGAACAAGGCAAGTTTGGCAATTTTCAAACCCCAAAACTTTACAAAAAATTATCGGAAGTGATATATCTTTTTACATTGGAACTCAGGAATTCAATATCTTTAATGGGATATTAAAAAAGTTTTGTTAAAAATTTTTATTTCGATCGGTGAAAATTGACTGAATAAAAAAAAACACATCGAGCGTAAAATTCCGTTTTTTTCGAAAGTCGAAACAATTAATTCATGACCAGCATATTGCTTCTTTTAGTTTTCTACAAGGTCAACATTACAGAATATAATAGTTTGTTTTGGAGTTAGCGCACAAGAGTTTTCAATTTTTTAAAAAGTTGAAGGCTAGTCAGAATATTCAATACAGTGCCTAGATGCTGGCAATTTTGGCAAACTTTATTCATTTTGTTGTTCTATCAGGCGAAGCTCAGTGGCGGATCGAGAATTTTCTAGAGGGGGCGGAGTTGCGGATTTTCAGTAATCTTTGTCGACATTTTTCTTTAGGTCAGCCATGTTCACTCCCAAATCACTATAAAACTCTATTTCGACAAAACCTCCAGCGCCGCATGTGAAACTTTGAAACCAAAAAGCAGGGCAAAAAAAATAGGCATTTTTTTGACGTTCTTAACGCGCGCTACTCCTTAAAAATAGTAGGGCGCCTTTAGAGAAATGTTACTGTCGGTGACCAAAAGTAGAATGCTGAATATTGTACCAAGGGGGAAATTTTAAAGGTTGGGTGGGAAGAGGTCGAATCCCTGAGAGATAGAAGCCGTACTGCCCCTCCGCTCCCTTCCCTAACTCGGATTGATATGTGGAACCCGTTGCTTGATACCTGCAACAAATAATATATATTTTATATTATTATATGATTATATAAAACACGCGTCCTCAAAATGTTTTCGGGCCATATTTGGAGAACTAGTGCAATATTTGGAAAACTAATGCAAAATTTGAAAAACTATTGCAAAACTTGAACTTTTTCTCTAGCAAGAAATTCAAACACTAGTGCAATTTCTTCCTAGATCAATCAACCAAATCAAATAAGGAAGTATGAATCACATATGAGCCTGAAGTGTGACAATGTGCGTGAAAATGTATTTGCGTGAAAAAAGGAATTATGAGTGAAAAAAGGTATTTCGTTCAAATTTTTCACTTGTGTTTTTTACCAGTTAAGCAACAGCCTAAATTTTATCTCGAACTCTGCTCACATCTCGACACTCTCGATTCAATATGTAGCTTTTGCTCATCTACAAGAAAATACACATTTTAGCCTCGTAATGACGAAATAAATGAAAAAAATGCGAGGTATAGTTTCTGCTTTCATTACGAGGCCAAACTTTGTACTGGATACGCACCTTTGGTGTGTGTTTGTCAACCAAATCTAGAGAAAATCTTTGAAGATGTTCGAAAAATTAGTTAGATTTCACTTGGAAAA